TATTTTTTTTTTTTTTTTTATTATTATTCCATAAATTGATAATATTCATCATATTATCATATTATCAACATAAACAATAAATGAAAGAGATAATTAAGTAATTAGAATTAATAGAATAGAATAATGGAAGAAATTTATAAAATTCAATGAAGTTTCTAAATTTGGTGTTATTAAAATTCAAAAAAGTAATTCGGAGTTTCTATACGCGAAAATTTCGTGTGACAATGATGATCTAATGAGATCAACTACATCATTTTTATTCGTCAATAATAATCAAATTAGATAAGATTACATATTTAATTATTTAATTATAATTGTAATTGTTACAATTACAATTTAAACATTTTTTTATATTTCAAACTTGAAACGCTGCATGATTGAGGCGTTTTGATTTTTCTTTTTTTTGAGATCTGAAACAATTCTATACTTAATTAACATATGAAATTTCTTTTTCTCTTAAAAAAAAATTAAATAATTATATTTTATAAGGTTTTTTTATTCCTTTAATAATTCATTTTAATTCTATAAATTTTTATAAGGTGATTAATCAATTATTGTGATTATTGGATGTGATTACAGAATTACTGTATCGTGATTACTTTGAAAATTTAATGTACTTAATTAAATTTACTAATATGTAATATTAATTTGATGGAAACTCACTATTTTATAAATAGTTACCGTATTCAAGGATGAAAGATTTAATTTTCCGTGCTTAATAAGAATGAACCGCGTTTGAATACGTGCGGAGGCGTTAAAAATAGGTATTCGATCAAAACATGAATATTCAATACGCCTACTGTTTTGGTAGTTTCATACATATTACAAAAACATAATTTCGTTATTTAGGTTAATATTATTATCTAATTTTACACACTTTCGTTCCTTTAGGTAGAATAGGAGAATAGGGGAAAATTATGTTTAGTCATTACATTCAAAAGTTTCAGATCAAGGATCGCAATGAATCCTATTTAAGGTTTTGATTTACTTTCTGAAACCAAAAAAAAATTTTCTACTCTCGTCATTTGGCGTATATTTTTGTCTTTTGAGTATTAATTTCTTATTTGTCTGTTTTTTTTTTTCATAAAATATAATCCGAATAATCCGAATAAATTAACTCATTGTACAAAAAACGAATTTTTGGATTACTGAACCATTTTTATACCATATTATTCGCAAATAAAAATATTCAAATTTCACAAAAATTTTTAGGTTTTAGTTGAGTATTCATGATGTAATTGTATAATGACATAATAATGGCGTATTGACATTATAGGTTTGTAACGTTTCACTACGATTTTTTGCAAGAAAGATTGAGGGGATATCCGAATGTAATTTTCCCATCGATTTGGTACACAAAATTCTTTACCCAATCAAATTCGGTGTTGCGTTGTATTTACGTTAATCCAATAGAATTTTAATCTAAATCACATGACAATTTCTAACTTTCTTAATTTTTTTTTTTTTTATTTAATATAATAAAATAGAACACTTTATAAAATAGGAGAAAAAAAAGAAAATAATTTACAACTTTAAAAATCTCTATTTAATAATCGTGAGCTTGTCTATCATAATTTGCACCACCAGCTCTTCTAAGTTGTACGAGAATTTCTTCCTCATTAAATTCCGATTTATCACGAGCATTAACATCAATAGCATATACCTTAAAAAAAAAGAAAAGTAAATAATGAATTATTTCAGAATATTAATAAAATAAAAATCATATAAAAACACTCACCCGAAGAATGTTTTTTACATCACTAACATGTACAGATAATTTGGCTTTTCTCATAACTTTAACACCACTTCCAATCCATGTAACAAAAATGAATTTTGTTCTTACAGATAATTCATCATTTGATACATTAATTCTTACATAACCAAATGCTGCTTGATTCTCATCTAGTGAATCAACAAATTCTTTTAATCCTTCTGTTCCCTTTGATTTTAGCACCAATTTATCGGATTTATCTGATGCATATTGAAGAAGTAACCTATTATAATTACCGTTTAATATAGGGAAATATAAATAAAATAAATAATATTATCATTAAAATAGAATATGTTATTAAATTACCATTTTGTTGGATTTTTATCATCCCGTACTTCATCATATGCTTCACCTATGAATATATTAGTTATTTCATTATATTAGACAATAATGATTATAATGATTACCATTAAAGATCAACTATTGATATATATATTTTATTTTATTTTATTTTTTTTTGATACGTACGAATTTCAGGGTCAGAACAATCGGCCATTGTTTATAAATTTGTATTGTATATAAATTTGTATATAAATCCCTTACAAAAAGTCAAAAAAATTATCAATAAATTATCTAAAAAAAAATTATTATTTTTTTTTTAAAAAAAAAAAGTGTGAAAAGAATGAAACGAATCAAAGTTTGAAAAAAAAAAAAAAAAATTATTTCGGTCTTTTTTTTAATTAATTTCGTACATAAATTTTGCATCGGAACATATTTTTTTAGTTATAAAAAGTATTACATTTCTCCATTTTTGTTGATGTAACTTCCTGAATTTAGTTTAGTTTCTCTCTAAAATTCAAATTATTCACGTGAATTTTAATGAAATACGATCAAATTAGTCAAATAAGGTAATTTATTTAGGACTGTATTCAATTGCGTAAACGACCGATAATCTTACTCTAAACGTTACGAGAATAGAGACGAAAAAGTAAGGTTAAAACAAAATGCTCTTGTTAACGTAATACTATTTACTTGAAAAAAGACTAGTCGTCTTTATTTTTCACGTGGTGGTTATCATAAAAGTTCAAACTGGTTGGGAAAACCTTTTGAAGATTCTTTACCCATCACATTTTTAAATATCGTCAACAAAATACCTTGAGTCATCTTCAAACATTAACGATATATTAATGAACCTTTTGTAAGATCTAAAACTATATTTCTTACGTATTCTCTTGAAAATGAAAAATTGGTAAATAATATTTCTTTTTAACGTGACTTTTATATTGATTTTTTACTTTTATTTTTCATATTTTAAAATTTTTATTTTAATAATTTTATAGTGAAAATATTATAGAGCAAAAGAAGGAATTTATTATGGAATTATGTTGAGAAAAGGATGTTCGTACAAAGGAAAAAGTGTTAAAAAGATTCTTTAAACAACATATGAACTGTAATTATTATGAATTGATCAAGAGCCAGATTTGATGAATTATTTAATCTATTTAATCTTTACATAAGGAGAACATGATAATTTTTACCTTATAAAAAATTTTCTGAGAAAAATTCTGATTAATGATCATTTTTATAGTTTATAGACATTGAAGAATAAGTAATTATTCTTGAATTTATAAATATAGTTAATGGAAAATGTTTTTTTTTTTCAAAAATGTCATAAATATTTACACGATTCTTAAAGTTATAGGTAAAAAATTTTTACAATTTTTTTTTTTTAAAAAGTTCTCACGTTTACCATGAATTTATTTTTTATTGTATTTATATCAAACATTAGATTCAATACTAAAAAAAAAATTTATCAAATTAAAGTGTCCGACTCGCACCTCGGTTTAATGCTGAGCCTTGATTGGTTTCAGCCATATGACGGAACTATGGTGTCTTTTATGCAACAATTTGCTATTTACCGCGAGACGTCCGGGATACAACAACGTTCTCAAATCATGTTCAACAACTGAATATGATATCGTATGAACTTATACTAATTGTTTACGTAAAATTCTTGAAGAATATCCTGATGGTTCACAAGTACTTCTGAAGTTCTTGTCCTTAATGGCCAAGATATCCGCTTTTAGACTCAACCCCTAACTTTAAAATGTTTCAAATTAAATAATTCAAACAACAACAATACTCAAAATCCTACTTTATAGACTTTTATGAGGTAAGATTTAGCCACATCAATGATATTTATTATACAAGTATCTCTAAGATGTCCATCCTTACATTCTTACAGAAGAGTAACGTTTTTGCACCTTATTCTGGGCTTTGAAGAGTATAGATATACCCTAAAATCCAGGATATATTCTTAATAAGTTGAAAAAGGAGAGGGAAGAGCACAGAATAATTAGATTATACAGAGGCTCATCCTAACAGAAGAGTAACGTTTTGCACCTTATTCCGGGAATCAGCTCCAATTTAGAATTATATTTCTCCCTATAGTCAGCATATTAAAGAACAATTTTACACGGAATTACTCTCTTCCACGCTTTGAAGGGTATAGATATACCCCTAAAGCCTAGGATATATTCTTAATAATAAGTTAAAAAAGGAGAGGGAAGAGCACAGAATAATTAGATTATACAGAGGCTCAACTTTACAAAAGAGTAACGTTTTTACACCTTATTCTGGGAATCAGCTCCAGCAGAATTATATTTCTCCCTATAGTCAGCATATTAAAGACCAATTTTACACATAATTACTCTCTTCCACTCTTTGAAGGGTATGGATATACCCTAAAGCCCAGGATATATTTTTAATTAGTTAAAAAAGAGCGCATAATAATTAGATTATACAGAGACTCATCAAGGATTTCTTCTGAGATGAAGGAAGACGTTATTAATATTAAGAACATAGATAAATTATTATTTAATGCTGAGCCTTACAAAAGTGCTTCCACAAAGGCCAGAGTATATGGGTGAACAATCTTTTATTCCAATCTATTTTTTTCAGTCATCCGATGTAAAAATTTTTTACATTTACTACGCCTAATTATTAGAACGTACTTACTGTATGTAAGTATTGGTTCAGTTCAACGTTAAATGAGTTGAAAACATAAAAGTTTCATTCAAACTCACTTGTTTAACGTGCCTATTTTAAGATTTTGAGATATTTTAGAGAACCGTCATAGTAACTTACATTATTTAAGTCAGTTAGCCAGATTTATATTGCAGCAAACTGTGGTATTAGATTCTCCGAACTATATTGTCACCTAACAATGAAATTCAAAAGAATTTATCAGCTGTTTTTGGTTAATGTTCTCCATGAGAGTTAAAGATTCAAACCAGCCTGTCGAAAGCTGTCGAAAGTGGAATTCGTCATTATCTATAATGGATAATTTGAACCAAATCTCGAGAAATCAAGATCATAAATTGTGAACAATATGGATGTAATATTTGTGGGAAAAATTACGATGAATACACTACTGGATTGAACAACGATATTATTTTTTAAAAGGGTAAGTACAATTATTTCTTCCATATTATACAGGGTATCTACTTTGTTCATTAATTTCTTTCTCTATAAATTTTAGTTGTATAACCTTCACAAGCTCCCTATTTGCATTGAGTCATTATGGAACTTTTTATTTAAAGAAAAAATGAATCATGGACATGTAGCAAAGAAAGGTGAAATAAAAATAATGGGTGTGCTATTAGAGCTGTGCATTTTTTCCTCCCCTGCAAATTATTTTTATCCCTGTGTTGTTTTGGTGTTTATTATTATTATTATATAATCATCATAATCAATGGGATACTTTTTTATATTAAACCACATTCGATACTGGTTATATAATTGAATATAACAACTTCGAAAAAATTAATAATGTCATTAAACCTAATAATACAAAAAGATATGTTACCAAATCCAAAGGAACAAAAATAGATCAGCTTTACAATATAGAAGGTAGAGGTGTGGGTGCCCGGGTGATGGCACATTATTTCGGAATACAATTCGCCGTTTTAGTATCCGTAGTTTACCATGACCACAGGACTACCCTTTACACTGGGGTATGAATGGTTTGTAATACGGGTCATGAATTTGATGAATATTTCTGGACAACCCGTGGGGTCACCCGATCTGCCAGGTCAGATTCGAAGCTCTATTTTTAATGCTTATAAAACTATTTAAATCAAAATAATTTGATGGAATTATATTTAAAAATAATAAATTCATGAGTAACAGAATAGTCATTAAAGAAAGTTCACCGTACACTATGGTAAAAGTGTATTCAGGATGCCGATTTAAATTATTAAGTAAGTCTTTATATACATGTCAAATAAAATTGTAGCAATCACGTTTGTGATTCTTTTTCCTATTAGTGTATTATTATCGATCGTTAACTTTATAATTTACGCTAATCGTAAAAATAAGTACCCACAATAGATCAGTTTTTTGGTTAATATAGATATGGTTTAATTACTTGCCCTTTTAAAAACTAAATCATCAAAAGTACCACAAAAAAATTCTCAAATCATGTACTTCAAAAGATATACTAAATAAATCTTCTAATAAAACGATTACGATTTTTCGAGATTTATTATAATAAATTACAATTACATTTTATTAATAGTTTTGAAACAATAATTATGTTAATATATGATCGATAAAAATTATGAAATGATTCTTATTTTATTAAAAATACTTTATTAAAACTCGTATAAACAGAACTTATGATGAAGTACATACGTTAATTTCACTACATTCTATTATCGATTAAATGCATACCTGAAAATTGTAACATCAATTTGACCTGATGATGTCACTTTGTGAATTACTGCAGATTCACAAACATCCGGGACACCATTCTGATGGCGAACCCTATAATAAAGAATAAGAAAAACATGTGTATGGAATTCAGTTATAAATTTATATATAATGAAATTTTTTCATACCATTTTGGAAGTTTGTTTTCGGCCTCTCCAAGTTCATTATTACTTCTAAACACAAATACAGTATTTAAATTTTTGACATCTACTCCTCCATGTTCTATAAAGTGTGTGACTATAGCTTGCTTTGATTGGTTCATATCACCGTTTCTAAATCCGGGCACCGCGGGAACATCGTTGAATCCTGCGAAATTCCATTGTATAACAATCGCAGGATCCTCGACTGCCATTACTTTTTTCACGGCATAAAGTGCAATCTTGGCTATATTATCATCTCTAAGCGCAACGGGTAGATCCAATGGCACTAAATACATAGGAAATATTACTCGATGATTGCATCTAAAATTGGATTATTGATTATTAATGTTTGTATCATACATACTTTTACCCCATTTTCGGGCAAGTTTTTGTATAGGTGTTTCTTCAGGTACTAAAAAGTATCAGTAACTACTTGATAAATTAAATATTTTTTTTTTTTTTTTTTTTTT